CCTTTAACTTGACCTTATCTGGGGAGCACTTTATCTGCCCTTCCATTCTAAATGACAACTTTGCTGGATAAAGTAATCTATATTGTATATCCTTGCTTTTCATGACTTTGAATACCTCTTTCCAGCCCCTTCTTGCCTGCAAGGTTTCTTTTGAGAAATCAGAGCCTTATGGGAATTCCTTTGTAGGTAACACTCTCTTTCTGCTTTTAAGATTCTCTCTTTAACTTTTGGCATTTTAATTATGGTGTGATTGGTGTGGTCCTCTTTGGGTCCAACTTGTTTGGGACTCTCTGTGCTTCCTGGACTTGTATGTCTATTGCCTTCACCAAATTAGGGAAGTTTTCTTTCATTATTTTTTCAATTAAGTTTTCAATTTCTTGCTCTTCCTCTTCTCCTTCTGGTATCCCTATGATTCAGATATTGGTAAGTTTGGAAATGTCTCAGAGGCTTCTTATAACTGTCCTCATTCCTTTGAATTGTTGCTTCTTCTTGTCTGGTTGAATGTTTATTTTTTTTCCTTATGTTCCAAATTGTTGACGTGAATCCTAGCTTCCTCCCTTTCACTTTTGGTTCACTGTAGATTTTTATTTCACTTAGTGTAACCTTTATTTCTTCCTTTATGTTGTTGTCATACTCAATGAATTCTTCAAGCATCCTGATCACCAGTGTTTTGGACTCTGCATCTGATAGGTTGGTTATCTCCATTTTTAGTTCTTTTTCTGGAATTTTGTTTTGTTCTTTCATTTGGGCCATATTTCTTTGTTTTCTCAATTTGGCAGCCTCCCTGTGTTTGTTTCTGTGTATTAGGTAGAGCTGCTTTGACTCCCTTAGTAGCATGGCCTACTGAAGAAAAAAAAGGCCCCAGTAAATTGTGTGGGGCAGAGCCTTAGGTAATTGCCAGTGTAGGGCAACCCACTTTACTGCTTTGTGGCTCTGTGTTGGGGGAGGGCAGAGAGAGGAGACTCTGCTGCCACCTGGCTTTAGAGGTTTGCCCAGCACTTTCCCTGTTTCCAGTCACTTCACCCACTCCCAGTATGCTACTGGTGCCATTCCAGCTTTTGCCCTGGTGCTGAATCCCAGAATGGGTGGGTTTGCCTACATTATACAACTGTGTGTGCCCTTTAATTGGAATCTCCTAAAACCCTGGCAGTTTCTTCCACCACCTGAACCCCCACTAGTTTTCACAGCCATAAGTTATGGGGATTTATATTCCCAGTGCTGGAACTCTGAGCTGTGTGGTCTAGCTTGGGCTGGGGTTGCTTGCTCCCAAAGTATCTTTCCCAATTTTTATCCACCACATGTGAATGTGGGCCCACCTGTTCTGCTGCCACCACCTCCCTGTGCCACACTGCGTCTCTTCGCCTCTCTGTCCAGTTGCATCATTGTCCCTCTTACCTGTCTGGATGAATGAGGCTTCTTTAAACCCTTGGTTATCTGACTTCCATATAGTTTGATTTTCTGGAAGTTCCTGGTATTATTTATTTTGAGGTTTAATTATAATTCGATCACAATTACAGGTGCAAGAAGGTGAAGCATGTCTGCTATGTCTCTATCTTGACTGGAAGTCTCATTATTATCATCAATATATAAGAGAAATTAAAACATTTCCACACAAAAACTTGTACATGAATGTGTTATTCGTATTATTCATAATAAAAATGGAAACAACCCAAATGTCTACCAAATAATGCATAAAATGTGGTATATTCATAAAGGAGGATTATTCAGCCACAAAAAGGAACAAAGTACTGATACATACTGTAATATGGATGAACCTTGAAAACATGCAAAGTAAAAGAAGCCAGACACAAAAGGCCACATATTACATGATTCCACTTAGATGAAATGTCCAGAATAGTCAAATCCATACAGAAAGCAGATCAGTGGTTGTCTAAGGGTGGGAGGAGGAAGTGTGGGAGTGACTGCTGGTGGGTATAGGATTTCTTTTTGGGCTTATGAAAATGCTCTAAATTTAGATTGATTTTGGTAACACAATTCTGAACATACTAAAAAGCCACTGAATTGTTGAGTGAATTTTAAATGTAAATTATATCTCCATGAAAAGTGTTTTGAAATTCCCAGTACTCACGGTAGTTAATTATGTTCTATAAAGTTGCTACAAACACTGTATTAACAAATACTGAGCTTTTGCTCTTAGGGGATGTACAAGGTTAGGTTCCTGGAAGTTTCGGGTCACAACAGTATTGTCAACCTATCCATCCATACCCTTGTTTTATGTGTTTCCATTTAAAGATAACTTATTTAAAATAGATTGATTTATTAACATTCAACTCATGGCTGATAGCACGGTAACTCATGCCTGAACAAAACTTATCTAAAATATGTATTTTTGCACAAGGCACGTCACAGCCTTCTTGGGCTTAAGGAATACAGACAGCATTTCAGCACTATGCTCGGGGACCATTTTAAACAGCTAGATAACCAAGAAAAAGCACAAAAATGCCAAAAAGTGGCACAAAGTAGACTGTGAAAAGAATATTTATTATAGCATGAGAGCTGAAAGTAGGCGGTGTCATCTTATTTGGACTTGGCTGGAAATGCATGCACTGGGTGACAAATTTTTCACTGTTCTGCATACACCCCACCTGCTAATGACCTCAAAAGTGCCTCGGGTATTGTAATTGTGGGGTTGCAATTAAATTTTAATGGTTCAGTAGGTGAATATGTAACTAATGGAATTCACCAATAAGGATCAGCTGTAGTTTAGATTTTTCTACCAAAAAGTTTTTTGTTTTAAAGTTTTGAATTTCAAGTTCTCAACTTGTCATAATGCTGAATAGACAAAATGCTATTCTTATATTTCACGAGTGGTTAACAGGAAAGAATGGCAAAGGGACGTTTTAGAGGTTTTACACAGTAACTCTTAGTTTAATTACCTCAATATTTTTAAATAACTATATTTCATACTGCTGATTCTTCGGTCAAGGGTTACTTTGAAGGTAAAATATTTATATTTAATCAGCAAAAGTCTGTTTTGAATTTTTAAACACAAATGCAGGCTTTCTCCTCCCAGGAAAGTCCTCTGCCACCACAGAATTTAATTAAAAGGTACTTTATTTTCAGGTAAAAGAAATAAGTGATTGTGCTTGTATCTGGAACCTGTACTCCTACTTCCCATGTGTTTGTAGACATGCTTACACATACTAGCTACTGCCAGTTTTAACTTCCAAAGTTCTGCAGTATTTGCTTTCAAGAGTATTTTCTGCACTTTATTAATTTTAGCCTAGCTTTCAAATCTCAAATCCTCTTATAACAGGAAATGTCAGTTCTTGCTCATAGTTTCTTATAAGAGGCTTTTGCCAAATTCAGAAATTTAGAGATAAATGAGCTGTTTTAGGTTATAAGTAACAATTTTGACAGGGGGAGCAAATTTATAAATATCAAGCGACTATTACATATCCACATTTATGAACTTGAATAAGCATAATCAAATGTCAGAATTTGACTACAAAATGGTACTTTTTGGATTGGTATTTATACCCCTTTCTTGGTAACCAAGATTTCTTTGTTTCTTTAAAGAGCTTTTAGCTGTTCTTTGATTGAAATTGGTGAAAGAGATGGAATTGGCTGATTAACTTGAACCTCCCAATTACAATAGTGAAGCTTGGCAGATACACATTTATTCATCAAGAATTTCGAGCTGTAAGATACTGTGGGGTTCTTTAGTCTCTTTTGATCTCTCATAAGTTGAATATAATAGACATTTTAAGCTTCTCTTCACTTAAAAAAAAAAAATCCCAATGCCAGATACTCATTTAACAAGCTCTTCCGGCCTAGAGACCAGTCCAATTAGCTTTCTATGCCAATCCCGTAAGTTTTGAAATCTTATCCATTCAATCTGACGATTGTTCTGTATGTGGTAGCAACTCCTCTCGGTATTTTTCCACTGTCCATGATTGGCTTCACTTCCCTCCTATTCTGAAGTAATAATTGCCATCAGAGATTAGTGCCAATTTATCCAGAGCCTTGTGCTATCAAAATGATGGCCCTCTCCATTAATCTAGAGGATCAAAAGTAGATCATAATCTGTTTGCCAAGGACATCCCATAGTATTTTGACTAACTGTATTGCCCAGGGCCTATTCATTCTCTTACTCTCTTTAAAAATATACTTGATAATTTTAAATATAATGTGATACAAAATGCTAGCAAAGACTAATAACTAATCTCTATTAAAAATAAACATTTTATAAATGTTTTTGGGTAGAGTTGTATTTAAAGACTTCCAAATATCCGTCATTAAGATGGTTTAATTCAAAATAAAAAATTAAGAAAGTTTCCAGATTATAAGAATTTATCCTGACATTAAGTTGACATACAGGATTTTTGCCCAATTTTTTAGTAATAAGTTCAAATGACCTAAAGTCACTGGATGAATGTTGTTCTTAGTGAATTACCTTTTATGAAGTAAAGTTACTTTCACCAGATAGACGGTTACGCAAAGAAAAATAATCATTAAAAAATTTTTTATAGGCATTTCTTTGAGCCAAACTGATGATATATGCCAGGGAGAAAGATATCAAATACTCCTGAAAACCTTTGATTTTTAGTAACTCCTAAACATTCTATATTTTTAAATAGCTCATAAAAATTCTATAATTCGAGATATTCTTTATGTAGGATAACAATAAAAATGTGTTTATAAATAAAGCCACTTTGACAAATAAAAAAATGGCTAGAAAAATATAAAGTACTATTACCCAGAATAAGAAGTTATGTTTTCAACAGTGCAGCCAGTTAACATTTTGCCTAGGGCAAATAAAGGCTTATATGACAAGAAAATAAGAGTGTACTGAGATGTGTCATTTTTTAAACATGAAAGGACAAATAGAAGAATTTCAAATTTAGATTTTTGAAACTTTATTTATGTTTTGGTCTTACAAATGATCACTTTTAAATTGGCTTTTCTGTAAGAATGTAAAGCACAAGAATTTGCTAAGTATCAGATCCACACAAATCCTCAAAATGGTTTTCTGTGTAGTCTTCATTAATGCAAATCAGTGAATATTTCATTCTTACAGTAGATCTTAATCTATTTCACAATAACAAAGCCATAAAATGTTTATGCTGTTCATTCATTATGGTGTATTAGAGCATTTCTATTAAAAGGAAAGCTGGGTAATACAAAAATATGAGAGAATATGAGGATCAAGCAATCAGTTGAGGCTCTGGTATATCTTATTTGCTCTGCAGTTTACTGTAATTACTTTCAAAGAGCACACAGCACATGAAGCATAGTAGTAATTATCTCTCTTTTTAACCTCCCTAATTTAAAAATCTGTTGTTCATAAAACTGGACCAATTATCACAAACTATCATTTGCATAATTAACCACAAGTCTTATTACAAAGCACTTTGTTAGTGGTATCAACAATTGTAGGGGGATAGAAATTTATAAAAAATGAGGTTTGTTAAACTCTCCAAGTCCTTAGATATCATGGGCTGTGCTGCTACTTTAACTTTTAATTAGATGTTAAATGCCTCAGTAAAAGACTGATCAAAGGATGAAAGAAAAACTAAATTATTTTCTAGGTGCTGAAACATTTCATTTGATAAGGTAGCAAAAGGATAGGATACAATTTAATCAAAATTTATATGCGTTCCAACTTTTCACTCAGAAATTCTTCTACGCTGTCTGTATTCCATTTCAGGATGCTCAGTTCTTCAGCAATGTTCCCACTGTCATCCAAAAGCTTTAGTACAGGGTCCGAACCACGAACATACTACAAAAAAAAAAGAGGGGTGTCATTATTATTATCTGCTTAGAAGAGCCTTCTCAGCCTCAACCAAAAAATCCAAACCAATGCAATCCAGCTTCCCTAAACTTAACAGTAATACAAAAAACTTTTAGATATAACACCACAACAGATCTTAAAGAAAGTCTTTTGGGAAAGAATTTAATGAAATTTCATTAAAAAATGACAATCTATCTCTAAAGAGAAAAATACTTGTTAGCACCAACGTAGTGTATTTGGGATTTAAGCTTATTATTGACTGTAACAAATATTTACTGCATAGGAGATATTCTCAAATTCTCAAAAGAGCTTAAAATCTCATGGGGGAAGCAGGTAAGTTCAAAATAATGAACAAGAGAGACTGACTGTATAAGATCAATGCTAAAATAAGCAGTCCATATAAATTATCAGACAGAATTCTGCAATTGACTTTAAAATTTTTTTCTGGTTTAAGAAATCTAACAATTTTGTTATAATCAGTTTATAATTAGGCTAGATTCCCAACACTTCCGACCCACTACTTGGGTCTAATATTTCACCAGAGAGCTCTAAGAAATCCTAAATCTGGGTAAATGTGGTAATAAACATGACTTCATTCCTTAAGACATCAATCTTCAAAAAATAAATTAATTAATACTGGAAAAAAAGACATTCCTTTAAAATCACCTTACCTTGATCTGTAGTCCTTTGAATAGCTTGGGTTTATCACTTCTGACAAAAGCTTAAGAGAAAAGCAAAAGGTTCAAATTGTTCACTTCTAAAATTCAAGCCAGATACAAAGATCAAAACAAAAAGTAAAAATGAACTCAATAGTAAAACATTAGATCCTATATGGAAAAACTAAGGTGTATATATGTAAGAAAGATACATATCCTCCAATGAGAAACCAAAATATTTTAAGATGTTGTTTTAAATTAATCAAAATCCCAATTTCCAATGGGATTCTGAGGGCTTGACGAAGTGATAGTAAAGCTCAGGAGAAAAGTATATGTGTGAGGACAGTCACAATTTAGTAAAAGTAAAATATGTAAGAAAAATTTGCTCAATTGCTCTTTAAAGTCTGATACTGATACAAGAATAAACAAAACAAAGAAACAGTTAAGGAAATCTAGAGCGCTACAAATATCTGTAGAATTGTTTTAATATGATAGAGCTATCATATCATAGAGAGGGAGGCAGGGGGGGAGACACTAATTATGTGTGGTATGTGTGTGTGAATTATTCAATACATACTTTTGAAAAAAAATAAATTCTAGGTAGAGAAATGAACTAAGGACAGGAACATGTCATGTGCAAATACATAAATGGTCAAAAAACATATGAAATAAATGTTGAGCCTAATAATCAAATAAATGTCAAATAAAAGAATGAGCTATCCTCATTGAGAGTGACAAAAATTAAAAAGAAAATTGAAAGCGTGAGAGAAGAATTTTGCTGGGGTTTAGTTGTGGGAAAAATATGAATAAACACATCCTACTTGATGGGTGTTTAGCAAAATGAACCAAAAGTCTTAAAATGTACACATTCTTTAAACCTGCAAGTCCCCTTCTAGGAATTTCTTTATTCTGAAGAAATAATTACACAATAATGTAAAGATATATTATATAAGGTTCTGCTAACCAAGTCTAAAAATTTGGAAATAATCTAAATGTGTAAAGGTGATTGGTTAACTAAATTAATGTGAAACACATTATTGGGTGCATCCATTCATTAAAATTATATTAATCTATACTTAGTGATATAGAAGCAAACACATATATAAAAAGTAGGTTATAGATCAGTTTGATTCCTATGGTTGTTAAAAAGGAGATGGATAAAGATTACTTTTATATTTTTATGTTAATACATTTATTCATAAATATATATTTACAAAGGAAAACAGCCCAGAAGCACTAAACAAAATCTTTAAAAAAAACAAATATAATACTTAGCATGATAAACAACAGAAATGATAACTATTGGAGGGACTCTGCCCTGCCCTGAGGTGTCTAAGCCAGCCTGCTGAGTGCAGACAGACTAGATTAACAACTGAAGGAGATAGCCACAGATAGATGATTCCTGGAAGTCTCGAACAGATTGTCTACAGTCAGACAGGGTCAACATCTGACATCATCAGAGGCATATACAGAAAGAAAAAACAGAAGTCTACCATAGAAGTTCACACCACAAAATCAGGAAATCAAGACAGATCAATTTAAGAAGCAGAAGCAAAAGAGAAGAGTCTCACAAATAATGGGAAGACAAAGAAACACCACCCAATCGAAGAGAAAAGAGGAATCCTCACAAAGAGAACTAAATGAAATAGACGCAAGTAAACTATCATATAATGAGTTCAAAACAATGGTTCTAAGAAAGCTTAGTGAGCTCAGAGAAAATCACAAAAAACTACAGGGAAACTATGAGGAACTTACTGCAAAATATGTCAACATGAAAAAGGACATAGAAACTATCAATAAGAGGCAAGAGGAAATGAAGAATACAATTTCTGAATTGAAGAACACAGTTGAAGGAATCAAAAGCAGGCTAGATGAAGCAGAGGAATGAATCAGTGAGCTGGAGGACAAAGTAGAAAAAAGGTCCCAGAAAGAGCAAGAAAATGCAAAAAGACTCAAAAAGAATGAAGAAGCATTTAGGGAAATGCAGGACACCCTGAAACAGAATAATATCCATATGATAGGGATACCAGAAGGAGAAGAGGAGCAAGGTATAGAGAACCTGTTTGAAAAAGTAATGACGGAAGACTTCCCTAATTGGAGGAGAGAAAAAGTCACACAAGTGCAGGAAGCACAGAGGGTCCCATTCAAGAGGAACCCAATGAGGCCCCCTCCAAGACACATCATTATTAAAATGGCAAATATCAAAGATTAACAGAGAATCTTAAAGGCAACAGAGGAGAAAGGGGTAGTAACATATAAGGGAGCCCTGGAATGACTTCTCACCAGAAACACTAAAAACTAGATGGGCAAATGGCAAGAAATATTCCAAGTAATAAAAAATAAAGGCCTGCAACCAAGAATGCTCTACCCAGCAAGTATCTCAATTAAAATGGAAGGTGAAATAAGGAGTTTCCCAGACAAAAGAAGCCTAAAAGAATATACCTCCACCTAACCAACATTGCAAGATATGCTAAAGGGACTGCTTTAAGAAGATGAAAAAAAACAGTATGAATACCCAGTTCCTTTCACAGTCACCAATACTTGATATTGCCAATATTTTTAATACTTATTAATCTGTGACAATGATGTGTTATTTTAATTGTTCCTTTATTATTTATTGAAACTAAACCTGTTTTTGTATATTTCTTGCCCATTTCTATTATTTTTAAAAACCTTTAAATGACCTTTGGTATTCTTTACCCATTTTTTGATTAAATGTTTGTAGAATTTTTTACCTAAAAAAATTAAAAAACCAAGAAACTATTAACTCTTTTTTAAATGTGTTGCAAAAAATTTTCCATTCTGTTACTTGTCCTTTAACTTTTTTTGTATGTATATTACTGTACAGTCTTAAAGGTTTAATATGGTCATACTGTCAATATTTTATAGCTTCTGGGTTTGAATATTTTACTTCAGGGTAAGAAAAATACTATTTTGTATTTTCTCTTAAAACTCCTTAGATTTTACATATTGATTTTTAACTCACCTGAATATTGTTTGTATAATATGTGAAATAGGGCTGTATATTTGTTTTGTTTCAAGTAATAGTGGTTCATGCACCTTATTTGTTGAATGAGTCTTATTTTCCCCATTCATTTGAAATATCAATTTAATCATATATTGTTAGACAGATACAAACATTTGTTTCTAGAATGCTCATTTTTTTTTTATTTCATTGATCTACTTGATTATTTCTGTGCTGGTGTCATGTTGTTTTCATTGCTGAGACTGTAATGGACTTAAAATTTTTAATATTTTATAATGGATTCTGACATTAAAAAAAATAAATAAAATCAATCTGCATTTAAGCAAAAAGGAAAGAAGGAACTCCTGTCTTTGAGACAACACGGATGGAACTGGAGAATATTATGCTAAGTGAAATAAGCCAGTTGGTGAAAGACAAATACTATAATGATCTCACCTATAAGTGAACTATATTCAGCAAAATAAACTAACGAATAAAATGAAGCACATGCATGGAGACATGGAGCAGACTAAAAGTGACAAGAGGGGATGGGGAAGAAGGGCAATGGTGGAAAGAAGAAGGGACTAGACAAAGAACATGTATGAATGACCCATGGACATGGACAACAGAGTGGGAATTGACTGTGGGAGTGGGGGGCAGGGTGGGACACGTGGAGGAGGGCAAAAGGAGAAAAATTGAGACAAATGTAATAGAGATAACTATAATAGAATAAACATGGTGTAAAAATAAAAATTTATATTAAAAAATAAAAAAACAATTGTATCATAAAAAATGTTAACTTATTATTTTAATGGGGGTTATATCTGGAGCATAGGGTTTGGGGATTTAAAAAAAAGACTTTATTTATTTATTTTTAGAGAAGGGTTGGGAAAAAGAGAGGGAGAGAAACATCAACATGTGGTTGCATCTCACATGTCCCCTACTGGGGACCTGGCCTGCAACCTTGGGATGTGCCCTGCACTGGGAATCGAACCAGCAACCCCGTGGTTTGCAGGTCAGCCTTCAATCCACTGAGCCACACCAGCCAGGGCAGTTTGGGGATGTTTTAAATGGACAGTTTTCCTTTTTGGGGTGGTTGTTGATCTATACTTTACAAATTTTTTAGTAATGATCATATCTAATAGTTCAAGTTAAAAAATTCAGAATACATCATCCCAAAATAAAAACAAGTGAAATGTTTTATTTAGATATTTGATTGTTCTTAATCCCAGTTCTATGTTACCACTTATATCACTTGTGCTTTTCAGAACTTATTTTTTAAACTTAGAATTAATTAGCAAATGCACTATAGACATCATCCATTATGAAGGTCTTCATATACTTGCATTTAGAACAACAACACAAAGATTAGTAAATGTTTTTTCTTTTTCTTTTAAGGTTTTGAGGACTTGTGGGAAGAGAGTTATATAGCCCATCAAAATTTCCTCTACAAAATTTAGTTCAAAATAAAACTGATTATGTTATTCTGGCTTATTAGAATATCTTCTCCATTAATTTTATCCTTTAAGATTTGTCCAAATACTCTGCAGGCTCCTGAATCTCCAAACAAAAATGATCTTATCATACACTGTTGCATTTTTAACCTTCCCTTTGACTATATACACACCTGTGCAAAACACGATTAAACATGAGGTATGTTCTTTACTACATAAATAACCTCTCTGGGGAAAAGGAAGGACTATTCTCTTATCTGCTGTATCCATCAACAGCAGAACCTAGCAAATTTAATAACTTTCATTCATTGAACAGATTTTTAACAGGCTGGAATGAGTGAATGAATTTAAAAGAAATATTAAGGTGAGTCACCAATGCCTATTTTCATCACCTCTTTTGTCTAATCTCTGCTAAGCACAGATCCCTAAACCTCCTAATTTTTAATGAGGAGACTATCTGCTAAATGCTCTGTAGTAGCAAACCACATTTTATAGACAGTAAATTATGTGAGTACTTATTATATATACATGGCACTAGGACAGGCTATATGAGAATATAAGGGGCCTGCAAAACCCTTATGTAAATTATTTTCTAGTTTACTTTCTACCATTTAAAAATAGCACAATATCATCAGTTTGGAGATTC